TTTAAATATTTAATTTATAAAAATATTTAAAAAAACCACAACTATTTTTAAACATAGGAAGTAATATTTTTTCTCTCAACCTTTTTAGAAGGAAATATGTCATTCTTAACATTTAAAGTCTTTATAAAGAAATTTCTCAAAATTTAGGGGCACAACTTTTTTTTCTTAATGTACATAAAACTTAATAAATAATAAGCACTTTAAAAATGCTTAAAAAATCGTTCGTCTTGCTTATAACTTAAATACTTCTGATGCGTTTGGGTTGGGAAAAAAAATATTAATTATCATTTAACTTATAAATAAGCTGATATTGTATGAAACCATCAAGTAGAAACGGAAATGAGAAAATAGAAAGCATGCTTTCACCTCTTTTCTTATCTCATCGTCTTAATTTATTTTTATATAAATCTTATTTCTTCATACTTAAGTATTATTTGTTTTATAATATATTATCAACATGTATTGTCTTTTATGTAATCTATTTTTGTGATCAATTTAAGACAACAAATTTTTTAGGTAAGATCATTAAAAAAAGACTTTTCGATAAAATTTTTATCTTTATCTTTTATTATCTCCAATATATTTTCATAATTTTTTAAATTCATATATTATACTAATAATTTTGGAACTTTTATAGCTATTATGAGAAATCTTAAAATTTGAGATTGTTGTCCATGAGAAATCAGACTCCAAATATTTGTTATTATGAGATCGTAAGATAATAATTCATTTCTGTCCTTGAAAAATCAAGCCTCTAATATTTGCTATGACCTCTTAAAATAATGGTTTATATAATTCAAATATGGAAGGGAATAAAGATCTTATAAAAAACAGAAAATTTCTTTGAAGGAATGAAGCATCCAAGTGCGAGTGTTATAAATTATGCAACAAATAGATGTTTCATCTTGTACATTTTATCTATCATCTTCCATCATCTATATTCACTTAACATCATTTAGAATTCCACTAATTATAGTCAAAGAACCACTATATTCATGAATTGCAAAATTGGTAAAGATTCAATATTTTAATTAAGTTTTATTTATGAATTTAATTCAATTTATCCATTAAATTTATATAATTTTTATTATCATTTAGCATATATATAGGTTGACTTTGTATAAAATTATGAAGTTAAATTTATTCATTAAACTTATGTAATATTCATTATCATTTAGCATATATATAGACTGCTGCTATATAAAACTACGAAGTGAAAAATGGAAATGGGGAAATAGAAAGCATACTTTCTCCTCCATTCTTATTTCATTGTCTCACCTTATCTTTATATATTTTTCTTCGTACTCAAGTATCATTTATTTTACAATATTATTGATTTTTTAACTTTTAAACTTAACTATTAAGTCCAAAACCATTTGAAATCAGCTGAGTTCAGTTCTTAGAAAAAAAAAACCTTGGACTTATTTGAATGCAACCTCTGGATTTATAATTGGTTAGATATCAATTTTGGCCTTTAAATTTTAA